TGAAAAGTTGTCCAGCATACTTTTAGCTATACAGGCCATCGAGGTCTTGATCTGTTCAACTCTTCAAGGACATCCCTGCTTGTACTCAAATTTTTCATAACATTTATACTTTTTAATCTATTCAGCTTTATATTTTTGCAATACAAGTCAATGGGAGCTCAAAGTGCTGAGTCAATGACACAGTCTTGGTGTCATCTGGTGTTTCATAAAATGCAGTGCAATTGAGACATGCCCCAACATAACTCCTCTCTCTGTCTCTCTCCCCCTCCCCTTCACCCTCTCCCTCTCTATTGCCCCTCCCCCCTCCCATACCAACATGTTCAGCTCCACAAGGACATTCATGCTTCTATTCAGAATGTTTCTAAACTTCATACTTTTGAAATATGTAGCTTTATTTTGAAAGTTTTGCACCATTCAAAAGAATGGGGAAATTCTACTTCAGCATACTTTCAGCTAGCAAAACCATTCAGGTGACAAAGTCTTCAGCATATTCAGGGCGATCTTTCAGCAATTCGCATCCACACATGCATTTTCGACAGGAAATGCAGTTTTCTAGTTATTATTCTGATTTCTTCCATCCTTTTTTCGGCACTTAATTGCTTCAGCATACTTTCAGCTAGCAAAACCATTCAGGTGACAAAGTCTTCAGCATATTCAGGGCGATCTTTCAGCAATTCGCATCCACACATGCATTTTCGACAGGAAATGCAGTTTTCTAGTTATTATTCTGATTTCTTCCATCCTTTTTTCGGCACTTAATTGCTTCAGCATACTTTCAGCTAGCAAAACCATTCAGGTGACAAAGTCTTCAGCATATTCAGGGCGATCTTTCAGCAATTCGCATCCACACATGCATTTTCGACAGGAAATGCAGTTTTCTAGTTATTATTCTGATTTCTTCCATCCTTTTTTCGGCACTTAATTGCTTCAGCATACTTTCAGCTAGCAAAACCATTCAGGTGACAAAGTCTTCAGCATATTCAGGGCGATCTTTCAGCAATTCGCATCCACACATGCATTTTCGACAGGAAATGCAGTTTTCTAGTTATTATTCTGATTTCTTCCATCCTTTTTTCGGCACTTAATTGCTTCAGCATACTTTCAGCTAGCAAAACCATTCAGGTGACAAAGTCTTCAGCATATTCAGGGCGATCTTTCAGCAATTCGCATCCACACATGCATTTTCGACAGGAAATGCAGTTTTCTAGTTATTATTCTGATTTCTTCCATCCTTTTTTCGGCACTTAATTGCTTCAGCATACTTTCAGCTAGCAAAACCATTCAGGTGACAAAGTCTTCAGCATATTCAGGGCGATCTTTCAGCAATTCGCATCCACACATGCATTTTCGACAGGAAATGCAGTTTTCTAGTTATTATTCTGATTTCTTCCATCCTTTTTTCGGATCTAATTAATGCAGCATACTTTCACCTAGAAGGGCCATTGAGGTATCAAACTGTGTATCGCTTGTATTATTGTTTGTAACATTTAGCTTTTTTTCAGCAGATTTTCACATCTTAATATCTTCAGCATACCTTCAGCTAAAACCACCATTTCAACTAATAACTATTCAGCAACTTCTCAACTATTCATACAATAAACAGCTTTTTGATATTTATTGTTTTTGCATAATTACCATTTACATTTCATGACTTATTTCAATAGCCACACATATCTCTGTGTGTAGGACTACTCTTTCTTTCTCATACACACACATACACACAAACACCTTTAATAGTTTTGAAAATATTCAAATATTCTATTTCAGGTAGCAAAATGTTCAGCTCTTCGAGGACATTCATGCTTCTATTAACAATTTTTCAAATTGCACTTTTAAAATATTTACTTTTATTCTGAAAAGTTTGCCCTTTCAAACGAATGGGGAAATTCTACCTAAGCATACTTTCAGCTATTTGCGGTATCAAAATGTTCAAGTGTCCCATTACATTCATGCTTTGTCTCAGAATTATAATACACTTCACACTTCTGAAATATTTAGCTTTATTTTGAAAATTTCCCCGCATTCAAATTAATGGGAAAATTGTACTTCAGCATACTTTCAGGTAGATATGCCATTCAGGTGTCAAAATGTTCAGCACATAGCATCCACACACATTTTCGACAGGAAATGCATTTCTCTAGTTCAAGTTGCTCTGAGTCTGCAGCACAGTTCTGTACTTGATAAAGTTTGTCCTAGCATGCACTGGAGCATATATCAGCTGATTCAGATATTAGGATATCATTAAATGGGCTTTATCAGTAAGAATGTCTCCCATAATAATGCTTCAGTAGAGGCAAATAGTTTTGTCCCTAAAGCCAAGCTAATAGTTTTAGCAGCTAAAGCTGACAAAGCCGCTTTTGTGACTAAAGCTAATTGAAGAGTTTTAGCAACTAAAGCTAGATATTTTAATTGTATTTTATTTTTATTGCTGGCTCACAAAGTACACTGAGAGCCTCTGTACCAGAGGCAAATTTGTTGTGTGTCTAATCATGCTTGGCCAATAAAGATAAAGGCTTTATGTAGTTTTAAGCCTAAAGCTATCAGTTTTTTTTTCAGCTAAAGCTAAACAGCAAGTAGGTTTTGTGGCTAAAGCTATCTAAGTAGTTTATGCACTTAAAGCTAACTGAGTTCTTTTTGCAGCTAAAGCTAGCCAAGTCATTTTTGCTGCTAAAGCTAACTGAGTAGTTTTTGTGCTTAAAACAAACAGTGTTTTTTTGGGGGGTAAAGTTAACCAAATACCTTTGTGCCTAAAGCTAAAAGAGTAGTTTTGAACTTCAAACTAGTCAAGTAGTTTTTGCAACTAAAGCTAACCATATAGTTTTTTTTTTTACATTTAAATCCAAGTATTTTTATGGCTAAAGTTAACTGAGTAGGGTTTGTAGCTAAAGCTAACTGAGTAGTTTTATTGTTTGAGCCAATTATTGTCTCTGTTACTTATTGTAACCATGATGACAAACACCCCTTGCATAATAAGTGAGCTGACTAGCTGGTGGAGTAGAGTGTTGTTAACCTTGCTAATGACCACAAAGAGACAAAACAGCAAGAACAATCTGGGGCCTACATTGTCATGACCTTCTGTCTCTTTTTGTCTCCATCAGGAGAGTCTCCAGGTGTGGTAGACTTCATTCTGTCTAAGGATGGCACTGATGCATCTCTGGTGGAGCAGGCCAACATCTGGCTCTTCCTCAAATTGTCCAAGACCAACCGCAGCCAAGTCAAAGTCACCCTTCAGCTTTTCCAGAAGAAACATCGACACCACCGCCCAATTTCACCACAGGACGATGATGACATGCTCCTGGTGGAGAAATTAGTGGATACCCGGCACAGTGGGTGGCACATCTTCCCCATCTCAGCAGTGGTGCAGGCGCTGTTGCTGAAGAGTGGCAGGAACATCACACTGAGCTTCCAGGTATCCTGCCCTCTTTGCTCCCATGCTGGCGCCACTCCCATGCTGGTCTCGCATAGCTCAGAGCACACAGCCAACCAGCGTGAGCAGTCCCACCGGCCCTTCCTAGTGGTCATTTTACGGGAGGGGGAGGCAGCAGCGCGGCGGCGCAGGAAGCGTGGGCTAGAGTGTGATGGTAAAGTGCGAGTGTGCTGCAAACGGCAGTTCTATGTCAATTTTAAAGACATCGGCTGGAATGACTGGATCATCGCACCACCTGGCTACCATGCCAACTATTGTGAGGGCGAGTGCCCATTGCATGTGGCAGGCATTGCTGGCTCCACACTGTCCTTCCACTCCACCATCATTGGACACTACCGCATGAGGGGCTACAGCCCCTTCCAGAACCTGCGCTCATGCTGCGTCCCCACTCGGCTACGAGCCATGTCCATGCTCTACTACAATGAGGAGCAGAAGATCATTAAGAAGGACATCCAGAATATGATCGTGGAGGAGTGTGGGTGCTCATAGAGAACCTGATCTGGATAGGTAGTCCAGAACTAAATGGACTGGGGCCTCTTTGGACTCAGACTCTCTGGACTTCAGCTCTCTAGAGGACTGGGATTATTTGGAGAGAGCGAGTCTCAACGTCAGCACTTTCCGAAGAAAAATAAAATATGGGATTTAAAAATGTGCCTAATATATTTTTCTACAAACATGTGGATTTATTTATGTGGGTGAGATGTTCTGCTCTGTCCTCAGAGGTGCCTGAAAACAAACAAACACAAACACTTATCCCAAATCTATGCAACTTGTATCTTATGGTATTGTTTTTGTTTACTTTTTCTGAATTTGTGTTGTTGTTGCAAGATACTTGAAAGAGTAAACTTAGCTGCTGGAATCAAACACTTCTATAAATGATGATGTTATAATTGTCTCTAAGCGTATTAATAATATTATTGTTGTCAATATTTTATTTGTGTTATGATAATGAAATATATTTTGCACTATTAGCAATGCACATGTTCAGGTTCACTTAAATTAGCTTGTCTGAAATACTAACATTTAAATGTATCTATCAAAATGCTGAAGGAAAAATATAAAATGCCCGTCATATGCAAATTTTCTAAATTGTAAGAAATTGTCCTTATCACTAAATCACACAATACTAAAAATCTTTACATTAAAAATATCTAAATGTCATCATATAGGAGCTGCGGGTTACACTTCAGCTGTCGAGGCTTCAGATTGGATAAAAGCATGTTGGTGAAATTTAGCAACAGCTGGTCAGTTGCTAGCAACTGTAGAACTAAAATTCTACATTTTGGGGAGCTACAGCACAATAGGAAAACAAGATGTCACAACTACCTATAAAAGTCTTTGTTTCTGCTATCTTAAATATCAAGTTACAGCTAGCCTTGCTAATCTTCAACAAAAACCAAAAATACAAAGTACAAGCACCCTTAAAAATTAAATGTTTGCTTATATACTGTATGTTAACCGCTAACTAGCTAACTGAAGGAGGATTAGCTTAAAAAATGTAAGCTATGTTATGAACAAAAATGCTTTAAATCAAGATGTAGAGCTATCATAAGGAGTTTCAAATATTTGTGCTTTTGTTCTTGACAAGTAATTAAATCAATTAGCAAAGTTATGATAGCATAGTTAGCAAAAATACAGAAATTTTAAATTATAAAGGTGATCTGAAAATGACAACTCAACAGTGGTTTTTGTTTTTGGGTAAAAGAAAACAAATGCCATCTGGTCAGATTTCTGAATTCAGATTTTGTACAGTTACGTGGTCATATTGGTTTTGTCTTAAAATATTTTTGATTATCTCAATTTTGTCACTGCAAACTAAACAAACAAAGAATAAAGAAGCGGTTGTATTCTGATTTTTTTGTTCAAAAATAAAAACAGAATTGAATGAAGCAGACAAAGAATAAAAAGTTTATTTTTTATTCTGTATTTATGGAGATCAAGATTCCGGTGTTGATATTGTGTTGTAAAACTCTAATGTACTTGTGGCATTTTTCCTAATCTAATTTATTTGACTTTTTTTCTTTTTGCCAATAAAGTTTAAAGGAAAGCAAAAATGTATCAATCCTTTGACTCTTCCCGTGTAGTAGTGCCTATGAAAAGATTGGAAATTAATGACATTATTGACATGCATTCTAGGATTGGTTTGGTTTGGTTTCCTCTCTCCCTCCTGTAGTGTGTCCTCTTTCTCTCTCTGTACCTCTCTACAGGTTGCCCTGGCTCTGGAGCTCTATGTTTCTGATGAGCAGTCAACGCCCACATCAACCTGACCAGTGTTTGATTGATTGTTGTGTCCTGTTGCTTTTCTTCTTCTTCTCTCTCTATTCACTCAACCAGTCGAGGCAGAAGGCCGCTCACCAAGATCCGGGGTCTGTCGGAGGTTTCTTCCATTAAAGGGAATTTTTCCCTCCCTGCTGTTGCTGTCTGCTGCTCAAGAGGGATTTGTTGGGTTTTCCCATTAATAGTGTAAGGTTTAGCTAGACTGGACTGTGTAGAGTGTCCTGAGGTGATTATTGTTGTGAATTATACAAATAATTTGGAACTGAATTGTAATTTATGCTTATTAGTTTTATGCCTTGAAGTAATTTTGTATAGTTTTATGCCTATGTTTTTTATGAATTGTTTTCTTTGAACTTTTTTGTATTTGAAGATACTGTATTTTGTCTTTTGAATGCTAATTTTTGTGTCTTTGAAGTAATTTTGTGTTGTTTGGGGCATTTTACATTTTTTGTAGTAATTTTCTGTTTTTTATGCTCATTTTTCATCTCTTTATGGTTGTCTCTTTGTTTTGTGTCTTTTAGTTGAGCTTTGTGACTTTCACATAACCAAGGGCCCAAGAGGTCAGTGGGCCCAGCGGCACTGTCCTGTAATTTATCCATGTTTTCAGTCCTAATGTATACAAAGTATTGTGTGTGCTCACCCCACTGATACAAAGTACCATGGCCCATCCTTCATGTTTCCAGGAAGTGACGTGAAACAGTCTCTGGTTGACGCCAGTCCTCTTGAGAAAAGTAACTTTGTGGACAGTGACAATGATAGAGGTTAAAAAGTTTTGTCTTTTGTGTGTGTTTGTGTGTATTTTTTGGGGTTTCTAGCAGTTAGAGGTCCGATTTCTTGAGTTGGAGCTAGAAACAAAGACAGTTAAACGTTGCTAGGACAAGGCTAAAAGTGAATGTGATTTACTGCAAACCTTTTACAGCATAAAAGATTTGATGAGCTCTAAGCTAAAGCTATCTTATCTTAGCATCTGGGAATCAGCCTGTCAGATTGTTGCAAAGTGGACATTTCAGCAAAGTTTTTGCCTCACAAATTAATCTGTAATAATGAATTTCTTTACAAAATGACTCAGCTGTTTGCAACCAAACAGATCTGATCCAACAGTTTTTCTCCCTCAGATGTCACAGATATTTAAAACCAAATTCATTAGTGATTTCCTGCTGCTGAGTTTGTTTTTGATGATCTGCTAATGACCTTTCCCCCAGTCCCACTCTTGGTTTCTAATCTGTGCAGAGGAGTTGTGTACTCTTAAAACTCTTGTGTGATTGTTGCTTTTATTTAATGTTCTCTTGTCACTTAAGAAGTTACCGTCTTGAATCTGCTGTTTCTCCTTTTGCCGTTCATGTTTCCTCTCATGAGATTTACGCTACTTTACGTGGATATTTAGTGCTTTTACTCCCATAAACTGCTGCCGCCAGTTGAAAACTCATTTCCCAGCCTCCCCTGTTCTCCTGAAATCATCTCCCAGCTCCTGCACTCGACCTTGTTCTGCCACAATAAAACATGTATATAAAGTGTACATGCATATACAGTATACTGACATCAATTCTGGAGTTTTACAAGTGCAGCTTTGAGGAATGTGAAACTCCCGCCCGTCAAGGTTGCAGCGACATGCAAAAAACTCAGTGAGGCTGATAAGCTGTGGCCCAGCCCTGGACTTGATTTCGAGTCAAGGCTGCGGCTGTGTAAAAAAAGAAGACTGTTTTTGATAGTTTAAATGTGTAACTGCTGCATGTTAGTACAACAGCTTGAGAAAACACGTCAACAGATGAAGCACAACCACTTGGAGAACAACCGAACACTGTAAAGTCTTATTATTATACTGTATTTAATTTTATTAATCACATTCTTAAAAGTAATTAAAGTTATTAAATAAATGTAGTGCAATACTTGGGAACTTACAATATTTAGGAGGGCGGCAATACGTTTCAGCTTGACTTAAGGGGGTGTTCACCAAAAACAGGCTGAGAACCACTGATTTTATTAGTATGCTAATTAGTTAATTATATAGTTAAATAATTAGTGACTGGTAACTAGCGGCCTGTAACATTACTCAAATAAACAGCTGGCATTCATTGTCACCCTTTGGAAAGAATATTGTGCTTTTCTCTGATGACCTCAAGCACTTCCTGCTTCCTGTCTGTTAACACCTCAGACTGCATTGATGACTCGAGCAGGAAAGTCAGTACTGACTGAGTTTGGCTCAACGTTGCAAGCATTCAACTGCAATCACCTCCACTTCTTCAAAATTCCTTCCATGCTTTACTGAAAATGTCCATCTTTTTGTTCAATATATTTTAATATTTTATGCTTGCATATACCTTTGTGGAATTTGAAATGTTTCCAATTTGAACTGGGAGTGAATCAGCTCAGAATGTTGACCCCTCAAAACCCTAACTAATATGTAACTACAACCCCAAATCAGGAGGAGTTGGGACAGCATGTAAAATCAAAATTAAAACTGAAAACAGTGATGTGTAAATCATCTGTGTCCTGTGTTACATCGAAAACAATGCAGAAGCACATTATTTGATGAGATACCTCATCAACTTTAATCTTTGTTCATCTGTCATTTTCTGGTGTTGCCCTGGGCAAAGGTCACTTACACATTTGTGATGGCTCCATTAATGCTGAACAACACAGAGATGTTGGAGCAACACATGTTGCCTTCAAGATTACGTCTTTTCCAGGGACGCCCATGCAGATTTCAACAAGACAATGCAAACCTCACACTGCCACATTACCAAGGCCTGGCTGTGGAGGAAAAGGGGCTGAGTGCTGGACCAGCCTGCCTGCAGTCCCCACCTGTCCCCAGTAGAGAATGTGTGGCACATTTTGAAATGCAGAATGTGTCAAAGAAGCCCCAGGACGGTTGCATCTTAAGACTTGTTTGAAGGAAGAATGGGACAAAATGACACCTGACACACTGAATCACTTGGTGTCCTCAGTCCCTAAACGTCTTTTAAGTGTTGTGAAAAGGAATGGCAACATCACACTGTGGTAAATGCTTCACGGTCCCAACTTTTGTTGGAATGTGTTGCAGCGTCAGAATTGAACTGTTTATTTTGAACAAAGAATAAAACTGATGCGGTGTCACATCAAATAATGTGCTGCTGTGTTGTTTTGAATCTCACATAGGACACAGCTGATTTACACATCACCGTTTTCAGTTTTAATTTAATTTTACACACTACCCAATGTCTTCTGATTTGGGTTGTAGAACAAGACTAGGACATTGTGCATTACTTAGTGGTCTATTTTATTTATTGTTTTTAAATTGTCTACTTGTTGCTGCTCATATGAACAGCACGTGTATGTGTTTGAATGAATATGTAAAACTGGATCTGCACTACTAATTTTGTTGTACAACTTCGTGCAATGACAATAAAGGCATTCCAGTTCCAGTTTTACCAAATCATCTGTTCAGTGTAATCAAGCATGAATTCTGGGAAAATGGGCTTTGGGTAAAAGTCATCTCACCCCAGACAACAAAAACAATGCAATCTGTTGTGTTTTTTGTAGCTAGTTTGTGTCTCTTCTTATTGTTGTGTGCCTTTTTGTAGTTAGTGTTTCTTTTCAGGGCAACAGGAGAATTCAGTGTCAGGAGGCAGTGTTTTCTTTTCATGTTGTCTCATGTTTGTCACGCTCTCTGAGGTGTCACTGTTTGTCAGTGTTGTCACAGCGACCACATGCACCTTTCGGCCATCTGTGTGTGATTTTGATTGTGTACAGTCTACATGTGTCAGATGGTCCGTCTAGACATGCGAGTGTAGGGTATGAAGGTCGGACAAGGATGCTGGGTGAGGCATAGTCTGTCTTCTCATTGCGCTCACACTCACGCTGATGTCGGGCCACCCACACACTGCATCATCGAACAGCGTGACACCTGTGAGCCGTGGGTCTGAATCACAAGTTGGAGAAAGTCAGCTTTGTTTGAAACTGAGGCAGAAACTAGTGGAGTTGTTTTTAGCTGTTTGTGGACTTTTGAAACATTACATTTTTACTTATTTTGTGTTTTTTAAGTTGTTTTGAATAACCTTTAAGTTTTGTCTCGTAATTTTGATTTTCTGTGTATATTTTTGTATTTTTACTTCTTTTTGTAGCCAGAAATGTTTATAACTACTCTTAGTGTATTTCACTTTTCGAAAAGGCTCAGATATTTTCTGAACTTGTGTCATCACTGACTAATGTTTTTGTCTAGAAATTCTTCAGAACCACAGAATTTTATTTCAAGAGGAGATTCCATAAATACAGAACATGACAGGCTAAACTTTGGAGAAAATGCCTTCTGTGCTGGGAGGCCAAATTCAAAGGACTAGAGTCTTTGTTGAAGGACACTTTTGAAAAAAAGGAGCTGGGACTATCAAATCTAAACTGAGATCCATCCTGTCAGGCAATCCACCATCGCCACTGAGAGGTTTGACAAGTGGAGACGTTTTAGAAAAGGGGGTACCTGAGTGCTCATATCAAATGTTAGCTAAGATGCTGTTAAAACCTAGCTCACCTATTGGGTGATTCTAGTATTAAAGTATGTTAACTGCAGTGGCGGGCCGTGCAATTG